TACATAAATACTAGGCTGGTGGAGTTAGTTGATGTTGGTGTAGAGGTTATAAAGGTAGATGATGTGAGCCTTAAGGCACACGAAATAACTAGAGCGATGACATATGTGGTTTTACAGAAGACGGGGAAAGAAGGAAAAAGTTAAGAACAATGGGTGATAAGATCAAAATCAGAGCAGATGAGGAGATTGATAGGGTGATGGCGAAATTCTGTGAGAAGTGACAACAACAACAACAACATACCAAGTGAAATCCCACTTGGATGGTAGAATGTACACAGACCTTCCCACTATCTCGTGGGTAAAGAGGGCAGTTTCCGAAAGACCCTTGACATTAAATCCAGGTACAAAAAAGAAGGATACATGTAAGCAGAACAAAGTCTACCAGAAGGGAGCAAAAACAACAACAAAATAGTGCCATAATCGAAACATAGTAAACAACATACTTACGTCCTTGCAGGAATAAAACAAAGGTCCTCGCAAAGACACTCGAAGTTTTGAGGTTTTATCAAATTCTCAGCTCTCAGGCAACTCGAAATGAAATGGCACATCGAGTTCATGATATGCAGATAAATGAGGATAATACCATCAATTGAAACATAATATACTACATGGTCCAAAGCATAAAAATAAAAAAAATATGTTCCTTCTGTAACATCTGTGTTTTGATTTCACTTTTTTCGAATTCAATCCAATACATCTGTTGAACTATTCGTATGCATTTCCTATAAATACATAATCAGCAACAACACAAAAAAGATCTTGAAAAACTTCATCCATCAACCAATGCCTATAAATCACAAAACACAATTCTAAAAAAGAAGCAATTCTCTCCGAATAGTCTCTACGATATTACTTTCATTATTTCCTATCATTACTGTGACTGTCAATGTTGTTAGCTGATGGTCACTTACAGAGATATTAGCAGCCAAAACCTCAGCCTGATGCTTGTCAAGAACCGAGAAGATGTTAGTCATCAGTCCTTGTGTGAGCTGAAATTGGATCCCGAAAAATGCTAATCCTTTCGAGACAGTAGCATTAACAGAAGAAACCCTGTTTCTGCATTGAGATAAAGCTGGTTTGTACACCACTAATGACTTCTTCAACCTCAATATTTCTTCCTCAAGACATTTGATGTAATCTGTAGATTCTGCCACAATCTTCTCTCTCGTCGCCTGAAATTTTCAAATCAATTTACATTGCAATTCCAAATCAGTTGGGTACTTCTATATGAATCCTCTACGAAATTGAACAAAAAAGAGTTCGAATCTGAAGCAAATTATAATAGATATATGACCTTATGTATGTGGGAGATAGTTGGGACTAAGGATTGAAGCAGAGAGTACAACTCAGCCATTTTCCCTCTTCTGTTACGTTCCTTGTGCATAGTATCATCAGCAAGAGGAGCTTCTTTTTTGTGCCTCTTATTCCCATTTGATGAACTTGAACCCATCTCATTAATGGTGGAAAAATCTGTCAATGGCGGCATGAAAGCATCTTTATATCCTCCCATAACACCCATAAATAATCTCTCAATTTCTTCCTCTTCTGCTTCTTCCTTCATCATCATCTCTTGCCACATTTCTACACTCTTTTTCATCACTCAGCCACTACTATTACTGTATCAATGGAGTATATGTATATATATATATACATATAGGCCTCCCCACCCCCACCCCCTACCCCCAACAAGACGGTTACAAGATATTTGCAGTTTTGCACCAACGAATGATCATATTTTGATTCTGTTGCAGTTAGAAATTTTCTTCTGTGTATATCTGTTGCATGGTGATTGATCACTTGGTTGAATCTCAGCTGTCCATTATTTGATCAACGGTCATGATTGTCCTAAGGATTTACAAGATTTGCTGGTTTGTTTACAGTGTAAAATTTCTGCTCAAACAAACATGCAAGTGGGGGTAATAGGGGTAGGGGGGGGGGGGGG